GTGTGTCTAGTAGCGTCGCGAGGCTCCAGATGTGTGTCTAGTAGCGTTTTGAAGCTCCAGATGTGTGTCTAGTAGCGTCGCGAGGCTCCGGATGTGTATCTAGTAGCGTTGTGAAGCTCCAGATGTGTCCTGTGTGTCTCCAGCTGTTCTCCAAGGTGCAGCACGGTGACGATCTGTCCCTGTTTGAGGCTGGAGGCCGGCGGTCGCCTCAGAAACAGGAAACTCACTCTCTGGAGGCCGTGAAGCTGCTGGAGTTCAACCTGAAACACACTCTGACTCGACTCGTCACTCACCTGTTCGGAGAAGGTGAGAACACCTGAGACTTCATGTGTGAGAGGGTTTTAGCTTTTCACTTCACTAAAATCCTCCTCTTACTCCATTTTCTTTCTTCCACATCTTCTCTTCTTCTTCATTGTCATCAACCTCCTCCTCCTCCTCCTCTCAGATCTGGAGGTGCGGTGGGTCGACTGTTACTTCCCCTTCACTCACCCCTCCTTTGAGATGGAGGTGCGTTTCCAGGGTGACTGGATGGAGGTGCTGGGCTGTGGAGTGATGGAGCAGGAGCTGCTGAACTCAGGTAGGAACACACACTCACTCACTCACTCTGTCGCTGCCTCGAGCCTGTGTGCAAGGCAGGGACGGATGCAGCCCACCAACTGCTGTACCCTCAGGTGCAATGCATGCTGGGACTTAAAGGACCACATGTATGTGGGAGCGTTGTTGTCGTCTTCTGTTTCCGGACCTTTGAACCGCTTCACATGGTCTTCATCTGAGGACGGAGTTTGTTCAGTTGTCATGGAGACGTTGACTTCAGCTCCACTTTGAATGATGCTCATTTAGTCTCAGATACAGAATGTCTTCATGTTCAGTCCATGTCCCAACTGTCCCCTACTCCCAACTTTCCTCTTGTCCCAACTGTCCCCTACTCCCAACTTTCCTCTTGTCCCAACTGTCCCCCTGTCCCACCCTAGCTAAAAGAACCAGCTGAAACAGGCCAAAATTAGGGGAACTTCCCTCAGCGCTTCCCTAATCAATTCCCTAACCCAAATTTCACCCTGTCCCAACTGTCCCCTAGTCCCAACTGTCCTCCCGTCCCAACTATCCCAACTGTCCGTCCTTCTGTCCCTCTTTCCCAATTGTCCCAACTGTCCTCCTGTCCCAACTGTCCTAGCCCAAATTTCACCATGTCCCAACTGTCTTAACTGTAGCTGTCCTCCTGTCCCAATTGTCCCAACTATCCCTATGTCCTTGTGACAGACCTGAGCTGCTCTCTGTGTTTAATGTGTCAGTAACCTGAGTGAGCACACACACACACACACACACACACACACACACACACACACACACACACACACACACACACACACACACTCAGGTCAGGGATTGATGTGTCTATTTGTCCAACAGGGTGTGAGACATGTGGGCACAGAACAGGGAGACAAAACACAGAGTCAGGACTCACAGATACAGCATGTGTCTGACGTCTGTCCTCAGTGTCTCACTCTCTGTCTCTCTCTGTGTCTCACTCTGTGTCTCACTCTCTGTCTCTCAGCCCCCCCCCCCCCTGCTAAGTAGCTAGCTTGCAGCTTTGCCCTTGAACAAAGCTGCAGCGTTGCGCTCCACTTCACCGCCGCTTGTTCCAATCAATAATACATGTTTGAGGACGCAAAGAGCGGCCGGTTCACACACACACACACACACACCGCGAGTGTGTGTGTGTGTGTGTGTGTGTGTGTGTGTGTGTGTGAGTGAGAGAGACGGAGCACCTAGTTAAGAAAATACCTCTTTATATTGACGTACTTCACACTGAGTTGTCTACTCTGGTGTGTGTGTGTGTGTGTGTGTGTGTGTGTGTGGGTGTGTGATGTCCTTCTTAAAGTGAGATTAAACTGAAATAAAGACGTCTTTAAGCTTGAGCCTCTGAGCAAGGCACTAAACCGGCAACCTTCTAAATATCTGTAAAGTTGTATGTGTTCACATGATGGTATTTTGATTTTAATCATGAATCTCTTAATTTTGTATCTTCACATGTTTGATGTCTGTGGAAACGTTAGAGCTGCTCCTTCTTCTACTTCTGCTTCTTCTTCCTCTTCTTCTCCTTCTGCTTCTTCTCCTTCTTCTCCTTCTGCTTCTTCTTCTCCTTCTGCTTCTGCTTCTTC